GAAATCAACAAACCGTAGTCTTTTTTTTTCTTGGCTTCCCTAATCCTCACTTTACAACCGTCTCCTGGAACATAATTAACATGTCCACAATCCCGCTCTAAGGCTCGAGAATACATCTGCGCGGAAAACTCACTTACCCTTTTTTAAATCTATTCAGACCCTTTTTTTCCAACCAAAAAGCCGGTATATAATTTCCAAATTTGGGGAGAAGAGGAGTTTAAAAATTTTGTGAAATCTTTATTCAAAACTAAAAAATCGCCAGATTTAGGTCTCCAACTTTTTTTTCTCATGATTTTGCTTTCCTTATATCCTTTTTAATCCACCCTTTGGCCCAACTTATAGAGTAATAACCAAATCAAAGCACTTTCTCGATTCTTTGCTAACTCTTTAAATCGTTTTACCTAGAGGAAGAAAACGCGCTCCAAGCAAATGCGCTGTTGCACCTAACTATACCGTCTTGTTTGCAACATTTGTACAGGTTACAAAGGGAGTTTGCTGTCTGCTGGTCTTTCAAAACGGTTTTTCTCATAAGGGTACAACAGGAGACCTCGTGTCGAGGTCTGGCTAGTGGTGCTTTTTCAAAAAGTTCGCTCAAGGCCGAGGCCCGTCGCTCATCCATCACTATCTCAATCCCAGCGAATTCTGTCTATGAATTTACTAGCTCAGTAAGAACTCTGAGGACATGTTAGAAGATAAGGGAACTCAACTGCTACAAATGTCAAAAGGATTGAGTGCACTTTAGGACTTTAGAAGTGTTAAGTTTTGAAAAAAGGCTGTGTATATTCTTAGAAAGATTTTCGCATTTCCTCCTCTGAAACAACAGCTATACTTTGTATGATTCATATTTATACAGCTATATATTTTCCATCAAATCCAATCGCCTAGCAGATTGTTCACTGACAGATTGACATAACCACTTCTCGGCGAACATTGAAATTCCAAAATTTAGGAATTTTTCTGAAGTTGAATAGAAAAAATGAGCAAATGCCCAAATAGTATCGAATACTTTAGCATGTTGGAGAAGTAAATTTAAGTTTGCAAATTCTAAAAATGCGCCATTTATGATTGAAAAAGAATTGTGATATATGTAGCGCACATTGCTACATTCTTCCCTCTTAAGGATAAATGCAAAATCTCCCAAGGCATCTGTTGGGAGCACCTAGTAGGCGGCTGGCCATCACTAAGGTTTTGATATAAATGTCCCGGTTTCAAAAGTATAAGTGCGCTATTTTCCATTATCATACCGAGTTACAGAACCACAAATAGATCCGTGTACCTTTATAGGTGCTTCATATGAAGTAGGCAATGGTCAGTGGACTGACTGTTAGAACTATT